GCTGGAGTTAAACCACGACATACACAAAGCCAACGGGCTGGCTTGGAGTGACCACACGTGTGGTCAAGAATGGCTGTCTCTGGAGATTAGAGACAGTAAGCCTGGTCTTGGGGCAGAGTGATGACAGTCCTCAAAACAGCCTTTTTGGTACATTAATAAGACTGACTGACTTGCTGGAGGTCACATCTGTGGCAAAGGAGTCACCTGAACCTTGACATCTTGCACAACTGAGCTTTGTACCCTACCACTGTGAGATTTACCCTCACAGAGTCTTCACTTTGCTATCGTGCAGACAGTGCATGTATCTTTCAGCTTTCAGTATGTCATGAGCCTAACTATAACCATGTTACAAATACAGCTGTCTTTACCTCACTTGCTAGTCTCTCATACTCTTCCATCAACCTCTCATTTTCCTGATTCACAGCAAGCACCTTACAGATCCGGTTGGCTGCAGTCTCAGCCTGTAAAACACAGCAAATAGACAGGACATAATCATGAACACGTTCTGAGGAAAGTACAGGCTTGGAGAAAGAGAGAGAATGTGGCCGCTGCAAATAAAAATCACATTGGTTTAGAGTTGCTTATTTGGACAGCCATGCTCAAAAGTTATCCTATTAGGTTAATTATTTTAAATCACACCAAAAAATTGTTAGGCTTGTCCACCACACTAGAAAGGCACTCCAGTCTCAGACCACTCTATATTTGCACACTGTACATATACAGTTGAGAATACATGCAGCTCAACCACTGACAGCAAATCTTTTCATGCCTCCTGGCAAATTTATTTGTGAAGGCACTGTGTAGCTCTGCTGTATTTATAATTTACATTAATAGCTCGACATAACAGATACACACTTTCACACAAATGTGTAGTCCGGAGTATATCTAACCAGATAAGTATCTGTGTAGACTCCTGTGTTACAGTATGTGGAATCCCCCTTTTGCAAGAATAGGAAACCCTTCATACCCAGAAGAGCAAGAGGATGCAACAGCATAGTTGTGCTCTGATAAGGCATAGCGGGCCTACCAGACAGGAAGGGAAATTAAATCCTGAGGATAAAGGAAAAATACCAACTACTTTAAAGATTCTTCATTTTTTATTTCCCACATATGGGTTATATCTATTTGTAGGCTAGAAATGTATGAAGCAGAGCAGTGGGAAATACCCCATTTGTGAGTGAGAATCCCATCCTGTATGCCAGATCTGCTGCTTATGTTCTTGCCTCGCATACTAGTATTTTGATCCAAAATAATTCCATTTGCTTCAGTGGGAACCAGGCACAAATATTGTGTTGGATGTCTTCTGTGCCCTTCTGCATCTTTAGGCATCTTAGAAAATCCAGGCCTAAATTATTACTCAGCATGAGTAAGACCAGAATAGTCTCAATCTCCAAATCAAACATTCTTTTATGTAACAAACTCAAGAGATGCTGTTGACGTAGCAAAAAAAACAACTCAATGTCATAGTGTCTTCAAATACAGTTTTTCTGAAATAGTCTTTCCAGGCACCAAATAAAGATCCAAAATTAGAAACATTAGGAATGTCCACTGGAATTAAAGAAGATCCACTTGCTAAACAACATTTCACTAAAACAGGTTCAAGTGTTGGTTAAAAACAATTATTAGTGCTCAAAAGTAATACTTGCAATTGTTAATTAAAACCACAAGGTACTAAATTAGGGTTTTTTTAATAAACTAATGGAAATGTGAAACAGCCAATCAAGAACACAACAACCTGAAGGGACAGTTGATTAATACCTGCTCTGCTCCAGCAAAAGCATGGTAGAAGCAGGACACATATGTCATGATAGCTCTCTCATCGGGTTTGGGAGTGTTCACAATATCTACAAGAGGGGGGTAGAAATTAAAACAGCAAAACAAAACAAAAAAAGAACCGAGGTGTAGAAAACAGGATGAATAAATGAAAGCACAGCATAGTGTTGTGATTGTTTTCTCATCCAGAGATCTGTACTCTAGAAACTCTACAAAGCTGTAATAAATTTAGTGTTAGACTGGTGGGTGCTGACAGACTAAAATGTACTCTGGAAACTCAACATAAGCTCTTACAAAGAGGAAGAATTCTTTTTATAAGCTTGATTCTGCAGTACTGTCACAGGGGAGTGATCTTAATTTTACCAGGACTCTCTGCTTAATAGCCAGCATGCATATATGTCTGGCGACTTAGATTGTGGGGGGAGGGGTGGCATTTACTGAGACAAAGGAAAGACACTACATTTTCATCTGGGGAGATTTCTCTGGAAGTTGCATGGGGATGAATTATAACCTTAGTATTACATGTCAGTATTCTTTATATTACGAATACCTGAAATGCCCACTTCTGAACTGTCTTGCTTTAAAAAAAATCCCTTTTCATTAGGACATGATTCCAGAGCTCTTCC